GTGGAAAGAGGGCAAAGTACCCGAGGATTGGAAGAAGGGATACTTATTCAAACTGCCAAAGAAAGGAGACTTAAGTCAATGTAAAAACTAGCGTGGAATTATGCTTCTGTCCATTCCAAGCAAGATACTAAGTCGCATCATCCTGGAGAGAATCAAACAAGCCCTAGATGAAAAACTTCGTCCGGAACAGGCCGGATTCAGGATAAACAAATAATGTATTGATCAAATCGCCACTCTACGGATCATCATTGAACAAAGCTATGAATGGCAGTCGCCTCTCTACCTCAACTTCATCGACTTTGGAAACGCCTTCGACAGCGTCGATCGAGAGGTCATTTGGCAACTACTTCGCTACTACGGAGTCCCATCGACAATCATACATCTCATTCAACAGTTGTACGACAATGCTGCATGCCAAGTAATCCACAACGGGAAACTTACGGAAGCCTTCGAAGTGAGGACGGGAGTGAGGCAAGGCTGTCTACTATCTCTAATGATCTTCCTGATTGCAGTAGATTGGATAATGTGACAGACAACGGCAAGCAATGAGGAATCAGGCATAAATTGGACTGACACAAAAGACTTGGAGGATCTGGATTTCGCCGATGATATATGTCTGACTTCCCACAAACTGGAAGACATGCAAGTGAAAAGCAACAAGTCGGCAGAAGAAGCATCCAGTGAAGATAGGACTTCAAGTGAACATAGAGAAAACAGAGGTGATGGAGATTCCTCGCCAACACCAGCAGCTACAACAACAACAGACAACAATCAGCATAAATGGGAGGAGTCTGAAAGAAACAACCTCCTTTACCTACCTGGGAAGCATCGTTTCAACTACAGGCGGAACTGACGAGGATATCAAAGCCGGAATCTGAAAAGCAAGACAAGCTTTCATTCCTCTCAAGTTTGTGTGGAGGTCAACAGCACTCACCATCAAAAATAAGATCCGGATTTTCAACTCCACTGTGAAGTCAGTGCTACTACACGGATCAGAGACTTGGCGAGTCATAAAGAGCATCTCAAACAAACTTCAGACCTTCATTAACAGCTGTCTTCGCTCAATACTGAAAATCAGATGGCCAGAAAAGATCAGCAACAGGGATCTCTGGGAGCGAACCAATCAGGAACCGATTGTGAAACAAATAGGCAGGAATAAATGGAGTTGGATTGGCCATACACTGAGGAAACCCATCAAGTGACATCACTAGACAAACCCTCGAGTGGAACCCGAAAGGGAAGCGGCGAGTTGGTCGTCAGTGCAGGGGTAACTTGGAGGAGGTCATGCGAGGAGGAGATGAAAGCATGTGGACAGACCTGGAGCAGGGTGAAAAAGTTGTCAGAAAACCGAAGGCAATGGAGGTGTGCAGCTGAAGCCCTATGTTCCTCCAGGAACTAAAGGATACAATAATAATAATAAATGATATGAGTTGGAAAGACGAGATCCAAATTGTTCTACTGACTATTTAATAAGTTAAAGGTTTCACGCCTAATGCTTTTTGTATCGCACAGAACACGAGCTAAGTAGGGTATGGTTGAGTATTTTACTTACTAGTGCGAGCATATAGTTTTCTATATAGGCTTCTGGTCTGCCTGCCTGGTGAGATAGATACATGGGGAGAGTTGTGAATGAAGAGGGTGGTGTTGTGAGTTGGATAAAATAGATTTAGCCCATTTTTCACATGATTCCAAGTGCCTGTAAACGAGAATATTAACAAACTGGTTAAGTGTCACGTCGCTTACCCTGCTGACAGCCTTTAACAACCTCCGTAACAAGGTATAGTCTTTCTTCAGTAGCCGTGGAAAAACTTAGCGGGAACAATAGAGAATAATAGGCAGAATGCGAGAGCTAACGAATCGTAGGAGTAAGAGTTGGGTTGGGTTATACCAGAATGTCTTAACTTCTTGATGTAGAAGGTAAGACGGAATATTTTCTTAGAAATCGTCAAAATATGAAACGACCGGGAAAGATCAGCAGATAGAATAATGCCTAAGTATTTCATTTCCGACTTGGTATCTATTTCAGTGGCATTTATGTTGCACATCTCGTGTGAGTGCTAACCAGTTTGCTTAGGTCAGATTTATGCCTAAAGGTGAAATTGACTGTTTGGCATTTGAAGGGGTTTAAGGTTAGCCCGTTTTCCTTGGACCATTGGCTGACTTCTGATAAAAAGCCGTTTAGTTTAGTGCAGTCACTTTGACATTTGACAGGCAAAAATACAGTCAGGTCGTCAGCATATTTGACAAAATTATGTCATTTGAAGATGGTAGGTCATGTAGAAAGAAAGAAAAGAGAAGTGGGGAGAGTACAGCACTTTGGGGGACACCAGCTTCAGTGAGTACAGCAGAGGAGGATTCGCCTTTGTATACGGTATACTGTATTCTGTTAGAGAAGTAGGAATGCAACCAGTTAGTGATTCAGGACTCAGTTCGTGTCATTGAGAGCTTATGTAGCAAGAGACATCTAGATACAGAGTCGAAAGGAGAAGTGAAGTCGAGAAACGTGCAGTAAACTTATTTGGCACCTTTATCTAATGGTGAGACGATACTGTTGTGTAGGATGGCTGCAGCGTCTAAAGTGCTCCTACCCTATAGGTCTATAGGCAAATTGTTTGAGGTCTTCAAAGCTTTTAAGGGAGGGTTCGAGTTTAAGACTGATATTTTGGTAACAGTGGGCACCTTAGACTTATTACTGTATTGAGCTTATGTGTTTCTTCAAGAATTTATTGCATTTCTACTTATTCGATCACCAATATTTCCGAATTCTTCGTTCATTGTCTCTTTTTTCAACAGATAACTCTCTTCACGCCTCCTTCAAAACATAGATATCTTGTTACTAACATATGTTAGTCCACTGTTCTGATGACTTTAAACCTCTTAATTTCAACCCACGTTCTTATACCTAAAACTGATTAACTAAAATAACCACCTGACTGGCGAAAATTGTGTTGTAAGAAACTATATATTAGTGTAGAGTCATTCGATGATGAGGAGCTAATTGAAAAGGAATGCATATTTCTTCGCTCAGTCTGTTGTTTTTGCTAAATTTGTGGGAACTTGAACTGCACGCACGCCACATGTATGATTCAAGCTTTATTTCTGGTCTACTCATTCCTAAATCCTGCTTATTTACTAATCGACTGTGAGCCTAGAAAAGGGAAAAGACCGGGTGTGATGCTCACAGTTCTACCCGATAAAAATATCACAACTGCCGCTGGACCTTCAAAAACCGTGAGGCTCCGTGTCACATTCGGTATGCAAAATAAAGTAAAAAAAGTAAAAATAACTACTTTGAAGCAGTGAGCACAGAGTACGCAATCTTCACAGCGTATAATGTTTGCCATCTGACTGTCATTCTGAACCACAAATAAAACAAGATTATTTACCGGAATTATTTTAGACTTCGTGATGAGGGATTTTCATAGGACCACATAGCTTGACGTCTTGCGATGCCTTGAGTTCAGTACGACGTCGTTTGGTCGATAATGGCTAAAGCTGAAATCTGTGACACCACCACTAACAACAACAGTTGTAAGTGATTGCAAAACAGGCGGCTCTTGTGGCTCAGTAGTCGAGTGGAAACACCATCAACCACTAGAGATGAAGACTCATCTAGCTGTTGTTTTCCATATAGCATATTATACGTGTCATGTATCTCTGTGTGTTAGCCACCGTCGATGAAATAAGTAAAAGCAGATGCCGAAAGATGATTCGTTTCAAAGTTTGAATAGTTTTACTTAACTTTCAGTAGACATTTCAAGCTTTCCACATAGATCCAAGAGTAACTGAATCAAGTATTGGGATTTTGTAGGGATTTGATTGATTGGTTACAGGATTTCATCCTCAGCTGACATCTGTTAGAGAACCATTGGAAAACCACCTGGGAGTATTGCCAGACAGCCAGCTGTTTCGTCAGCCTAGTCTGGGACTCATCAGAAGTATGCACCCACTGCCAGGGTTCTAACTGACATTATTAAAAGTAAGCCTATGTCTTTATAGTGGCTTACCTCGTTAACTGTTAGTGACGTTAAATTTAAGCATAACGTCTATCTAATACTGTAACAACAGAAGACAAGGGCCAGGCAACAGATCCTCTATCAAGGAAATCAACACATATTTATATATTTTCATGTACATTATTATAGATTATTTAAGCAAACAAACACAGTCTTCTGATTGGTTGTTTCTCACTGAAAGTTAATCTTTCATCTCTTTATGGCTGTTTCTTGAATATCAGATCATTTATATGTTAACTGTATCCGCCTACGCAAAGTCTTTGTTCTCATTTTTCCCACGACCAATATTGGGGACATAAACATTGACTTAAATTACTGTCTACCAATTTGGCTAGTAGCTAGCTCTCACCACAGTATATATTCGGAGGATTAAAATAAAATCTTTAAGTGATCGATATAGGAAGTAAACAGTGTCATGCTATTATCAACCGGATTCTGTCGATGAAATGTTTGGGCAGGATAACCTAATTAGGGAGATCACCAAAATCCATGTACCTGTAACTGTTCTTAGATGATTGGTTGATGTCATCCAGAAACCTCAGGATTTCATCATAACCTGACATCGGTTGAAGAACCATTAGAAAACCAGCTGGTTCGTCAGCCTAGTTTGGGACTCTTCGTCAGGACAGACCCACCAGCAAAGGTTCAAAACCAGGACATTCTGCTCGTAGACCGTTAGGCCAATGACTAGTCTATGAATTCTAACTTCTGCCAATTCACGACATAGTATGACCGCTAGCCAATGTTATCACTAGTAAGTATTTGTCCTCACACCCGACCTGCTGCACCCTACTGGTCACGACTTCCCGCTGGAACCCAGGTAACTACCACCTACCTGACTGAATACGGCCAGTCGCCAGTGAGCATCTCATTGATACTCAAGTATTGGTTTGTACGAATTTGAATCGATCGGATGAAAACAAGTAATTATGTATGCATTAACCACTATTTTGTGATGCTGACTGTTTACACAAAGTATTTTCTCAAATTTGTGTTTATTTTATTTGCTATAATTCGATCGTATTTCATTTCTTGCCAATATTGAATACATTGTGCTTTTTTGTGCTTTGGTTGAAGAGCAAAAGCAGCTTTCTGTGAGATTAATACAAACCTGAAACCAAGTGTAATTACACAAAGTTATCCATCCTTACCATACCTGTAGTATAATATATATTAAGTGAGTTTGTGAATTTAATTTCCCGTTGAAATATAAATATCTACGTTATTATATAATAATAATGGTAAAGCTTTATTTAAGACAGTATGCGAATATATGGTACAAACATTTTCAGCGTATTTAGCTTCAAAGTACTTTTTTCTTCACACAGGATTCACATGTAAATTAATAATCTGAAGTACATCTTCACTTCGTTGAAGAATTGTACAGCGTATACTTGGGAGCAAGTTATACCATCGAACAAGTTTATGTATAGGTCATTTGATATAACTGGACGATTAAAACGATGATAAATCCAGATGAAATTAAGCATTTTGGAGGAAAGTAATTTTGGTAGCTCAATGATTTAAGCAGGCCGCCTTATACTTATATCATAGTTTTCAGATGATATATTATTAGTGTAAATGTTTGTCAATTTCACCCATAGTATTTAGTTTTCATTGTGGACTTTGTTCTCTGAGACGTAAGTTGTGTTTTGTGCCTCTTATTTTGACTCTTTTATTATCCTTTTTGGACACTGCCTTTTTAAGTGTAACTTCAATGTGGAATAAGATTGTAGGATACATGGTGAATAAAATGCCCACACTTGTATTGATAGTGGTCATTTTTTTGATTTGATATTTGAACCTTTTAGTTAACTAATAAAATTTGACTTATACCAATATTCTTTGGTATTAGACGGTTGGAGGTAATCGGCCACACGAAGCCTTGCTTGCTTGACCTAGGTTCCATGCTAGTTGTCACTCGCCAGTCATCAGCAAGGCCTATCTGCAACTGTCTTGAAGGAATATTCATGTCCCTTATTGATATGTATCCATATATATATATATATATATATATATATATATATATATGTGCGTGTATGGTGATCTCTCTTTCTGTTTGCTCGCTTAGTCTGTGACCATTTCACTTTGATGAACCTGTCTCCTTTAACAATGTATATTCCCCTTATATTATATATAATATAATATGAGTGTTTGTTGACAGTCCGTAGCTTGGTGACATATATCCATATTATATGTGTGGTTGTTGACATGTCTGCTATATTTTGCTATGTATATATGGATCGACACTCCATTATAATTAGCCATTCATGTTAAGACTTGCGCGATGATTTAACTTTCTCCCAAGTAAACGCTGTACAATTCATCAAATGAAGATATACTTCAGATTATTACTTTACATATGAATCCTGTGTGAAGAAAAAAGTACGTTGGAACTGAATATGCTGAAAATTTTTGTACCGTATACTAGCATACTGTCTTAAATAAAGCTTTACCATTATTATTATTACTATTGATTTGTTCACACACTTGTCTGGACATTCGTATATATTTCGCTCACAATCTTGTGTGACACTTTGGTGTGATACCACTTATTGCTTCTCCTTGTGTATGGAAAATAGAAGTATCATCGCAAACCTAGTGGTCTTCTGATTTCCGCCTTCTTCCGTCAGGACTATTAAATTCTCGACCAGTACATAACAATAATTTGACGACTAGTACATAACACTTATAAGATTCAAAACTGCGTCATCCATTACAACCTGCAGTCAGAAACGTTACCACTGAGGAGGTATTTAGGCTTGCAATTGATTTCCTATAGGAGTGTATTGGATACTTTTGATTGGACAGTAGTCAGTAACTACTGTGTAATGTGTCTAGTCCTATTTTTGGTGCAGACTGAATTTCATCAGTTAAGTTTGCAATGTGGCCAGCATACTAGGTGACTCGCCATCACGGTGCACATTGATTTGATGATATTAGATGGTTGGAGACAATCGGCAGGGAGCATGGGACCTAGATTTCGTGCTAGTCGGCACTCGTCCATTGCCGGCTGCCTCCAACCATCTAATACCAATAATTCACAGTGCACCATGATGGCGATTCATCTACCATGGTGTCCATATTCCAAACTTGACCTGTAAGCAATAACGTATTTAGCTAAAATAACAGGGTACAAAATAATAATAATAATAACGGCTTTGCTTTAAACAATACTTTTGGTACAGTGTGGAGTTTCCAGCATGTGGTGCAACATTGCATCTAATTTTCCCTCTACGTAGTTTAGGGGGAAAATAATTAGACACCACATTTACATTGTTAATACTGTTCCATAAGACTTTGAACGTAAAACTAAAATTGAAGCGGAAATATTAGCGGTAATATAATAATTAAAGGGCCGTTTACCTAGTATTTCTCAATAAAATAGCAGTACGACTCCCTACACTTTTGTCATCGCATAATATGTGTGTTATATAAGGTATTGTAGAGTTTTCAAGTATTGGTTTTTGTAGGGATTTTGTTTGATTGCATGGAGGATTTAATCATGAGCTGACATCAGTTAGAGAACCACTGGAAAACCTGGGAGTACTGGACAGCCGTTTCGTCCTAGTTTGGGACTCCTCATCAGTACGCACCCACCGGGATTCGAACCCAGGACCTTCTGGTTACAAGGCGAGCTCGTAGACCATTGAGCCACTGGGACCCGATCCAATGGTCCTTGAATTCTAACTTCTGCCAGTTCACGACATAGCGCAACCACTTCGCAATGTCTTCTTCGATGAGTTACTGCCTCATCTTCGACCTGCTGTACCCTACTGGTCACGGCTTCCCACTAGAACCCCAGGTTAACTGCCTGAATAGGGCCAGTCACTAGTGAGCATCAGATGAATTTTCAAGTATTGGTTTTTGTAGGGATTTTGTTTGATTGCATGGAGGATTTAATCATGAGCTGACATCAGTTAGAGAACCACTGGAAAACCTGGGAGTACTGGACAGCCGTTTCGTCCTAGTTTGGGACTCCTCATCAGTACGCACCCACCGGGATTCGAACCCAGGACCTTCTGGTTACAAGGCGAGCTCGTAGACCATTGAGCCACTGGGACCCGATCCAATGGTCCTTGAATTCTAACTTCTGCCAGTTCACGACATAGCGCGACCACTTCACAATGTCTTCTTCGATGAGTTACTGCCTCATCTTCGACCTGCTGTACCCTACTGGTCATTGCGAACTGGACATTGCGAAGTGGTCGCGCTATGTTGTGAACTGGCAGAAGTTAGAATTCAAGGACCATTGGATCGGGTCCCAGTGGCTCAATGGTCTACGAGCTCGCCTTGTAACCAGGAGGTCCTGGGTTCGAATCCCGGTGGGTGCGTACTATTGTAGATTTTTATACCTGGTAGTTCAAGCATAAAGTCTTCGATAGTTGCTTCTTGTCCTACCTGATGGGATGCAAGCAGGGAGTTGTAAATAGAGAGACGATAGCCAGTGTCCAGCAAGACAGTGTTCGCTATTTTCTTGCAGGAATCTAAGTGTTTATCTGCGACAGGGTTAACAAGTTGGTTATACAACACCCCATCTTCCCCTTTACGGTGTAAAAACATCATTCTTAGGTATCCCAGGAAAGATTAAGTGCGTGCAATAAGGATGCATAAGCAGAATGCATGAATTAAGAAACTGTAAAAGTAGAGACTGGGAGGTGTCCGATTGCCTTAACGTCCCTATGTAAAAGGTAAGAGGAAATACCCTTCTAGAAATTAGTAGGATGTGAGACAACCAGGAACGGCCAAAGTGGGCGTCCCCTTCGAATTAGAATCCAAGAACACAAATCAGCCGTGAAAAGACACGATATATGTTCTTTATTATCAATGCATGTAGACAATTATGGACATCAGTTTGATTGGGATAATGGTGAAATCTTAGACAGAGGAAACACCAAAAGTCCAGTCAGGGAATTCCTAGAAGCCTGGTACTCAAATGAATATGCAATTAACAAACACGTTAATATAGACGAAATATACCAACTAATAATAAAAAGTAAATCAAGTGACCAGAAAGTTTAAAATCCAAGTCAATAGAAAATGGTCAGTACACATGTAGAGATGGTTGCCGGGAGATGCAGTTATATCACTCATGAAGAAAAATTTAAATCATTTCACTTTAAGCTAAATATTGCGTTGAAGATGTCGTCTAGAAGGACAACGAAAGCTCCGTAACTAAACCAACCAGTTCAGAGAACACCATTAATTACAAACAGGAACGATCAGAGGAAATTCACTGTCCAAGATATTTAACGTCCAAATTGATCTCAACCTCATGAAAGGAAACATGACACTTTCCACATTACATCTCTCGGTGTCACATAACTTTGAATGTTATCCAAAGGAGAATAACAGCTTCTTAGGCGTAACTGATGAGATTTCCATTCGTGCATCTCACTCGACCTATAATGACGCCAACGGCTGCTGACAATATAACTGACTGACAATTTAGGTTTAACACCGATCTAATCCCCTATCGGTATCAGCTGCAGAACTACTGAAGAAGATGGAGTAATGGACGGCTAATGTAGTCATATTATGAGTCTCTTCAACCTATAGTGGATCGAACTCCCAACTTTACAAAGCTAGCAAGTTAGCATTTAGTTATCGGATCGGAATCCAATTACTCGTGAATTGTATCTGCTGTGAATTCGTGATATAGCGTTAGTGAAATTCAGAGCCATCGACAACAACCCACTAGGTACATTCTGGTCCTAGTTTTCGGTACTCCTCTCTCTAACACTGATCAGTGCTCATTTTGATTTGAAACTCCTACCCAAAGGTTTGTAAGTTATACTTTTTTTTGTTATTATTACTAGCTATTGTCTAAGCTTTATTACATAATCAATTGATTGCACTTTTATTGTAAATTTACAGATCAAAATAAAAATGTTTGTGGCAAAAAGTCATTCAATCCTATTCACTATGAACATTCTTGTAGCTGTAAGTTAACAGTTACGCATATTTATTTAAATGGTTGTATTTGATTATTCAGTGATATTTATTTAAACATTACGAAGATAGAATGAACAAATGAGTGGAGAAATATTTAACTTTTTTAATTAGATCCTTGTCCAGTTGTTTCTTATTGTTATACATTCCGAGTGAAACATAAGATCTCAACCTCAGGCACTGGAGTTTCAGTAGAGGTGTTGGTGGTAGTGTTGTTTTCTCGCCCAGTATTCCTACTTTTCCGAGCATAAAGACATCTAGTAAACTAGTAGAGGTTTCCAAATGCATCGGCAGTGAATTGAACCCATAACATACGCGTAGCTGAAGAGCAGTCTACCACGAATCTACCCGTGGTCCTCTGTGTTATTAGTATCATTATTATTGCCTTCTTTAGTTCCTAGAGGAATATAGGAATTCAGCCGGACGTCTTCACTACCTTTGGTTCTCCTCCAACGTTCCTACCTCGCTCCATACCTGCCGACATACTTTGATCTCCTCTATGCATCATCTCCTCCATGTCAACCTCGCAATGACCCCGGCGTGTAATGTCAATCACTTGATGATTTGATTTCTGACACTATGGCCACCAATCCACCTCCATTCATTCCTGAATATTTCTTGCACAATTCGTTTCTGCTGGTTTGGTTCGCTTATTGCAAGAGATCACCCTTGTTGCAGTTCTTTTCTGGCCGGCCATCTCATCTTGAGTAGTACTGAGCAAAGACAGCTATTGTTGAAGGTGCGTAGTTTGAGGGTGTTTTAAGTGCCCTTCGTGACGAGGCATGACGCGGCGCCACGTCTCTGATCCGTATTGTGAGTAGCACTGACTTCAAAATGGAGTCGGAAATCCGGATCTCATTTTTCATGAAGCTTAGTGATGAGTGTTGATCTCCACACAGACTTTAGAGTAATGAAAGTTTCTCTTGCTTTCCCTATACTTTCTGCCTTGATATTCTCATCACTTCCGCCGCCTGTAGTTGAAATGATGCTTCCCAGGTAGGTAGGTCGGGTAGGTGAATGAAGTTGCTTCTTTCAGATTCCTCTCATTTATGCTGATTGTTGTCTGTTGTTGTTGTTGCTGTTGCTGATGGCTAGGAATCTCCATCATCACCTCTATTTTCTCTATGTTCACCTTAATCCTCTCCTATCTTTGATTCTTCGTCTGTCAACTGGTTGCTTTTCACTTGCATACCTTCCAGTTTGTGGGAAATCAGACATATATCACTTTGGCGAATTCCAGATCTTCCAAGCTTTTGTGTGGGTCCATTTTGTGCCTCTTTCCTCATTGCCCTCTGCTGTCTGAACTGAATCCACTACCCTATGACTACGAGCCCACCACAGTTTCCTCCAAGTCTATAAATTGTTGCTTAAATACCCTTAAAATGGTGGTGTAGTGGTCACTGGATCTCATCAACCTTGTGAAGGTACTCAGCTAGCATTCCCAAGGTCTTAAAATAGGCTCATGCATGTGCAGTGCTGAGAAGTTTCAGTCAAGGACGATATGACTGACGAATGCACCCCTGCTGCATTCAATGATCTTGTAGGTGACGTCATTTTGTGACAAAATCAATGATGAAATCCTTTTAGTAAGTCGTTTTAATCACAACCACTCACGCCAAAACGACTCACTAGATTCTGTTGATATTCAGAAATGAATATTAGTAACTAAATGGAAAACTGAACATACGCATAATCTAATTAACAATAAACAATTGTTCAATGTTCAATAATTCTTTGAATAAAGCATTTAACTTACAATTAGTTGTTAATTCATTTAAACAAAGATTTTAAGTATATTAATGGCAGTCGGTGGCGGTTTATTTATGCTATCTGGAGATATGAATTTTATGTTTCTGCGTAAAACTGTCACACTGTTGGAGAAACGTGTAAATCCACCAAATGCAAATTTTGGTATCGGTGTTGGCAAGTTAATAATGTTACTCACAGGTGAGTTATACTCAGTATTTATAATGTGTTCATGCATTTTGAAAATGTTGGACAAAACGGAACACCACTAGGTTGGTTTGATTGTGAAGTAGCATTGAATGGTGCAAGTTTTCTAGCTTGGAGGTCAAATAATTAAAAAACTGAAAACCAGGGAGTACTGGACAGCTGTTTCGTTGGCCAAGTTTTGGAATCGTTGGTAGTACGCACCCACACCCACAAGGGGTTCAAGCCCAGGACCTTCCGGTTACGAGGCAAGCTAGCACATCTACGTTCAGCCACCGGGACTTACCTCCTCAATGGCCAGCCAGCACATGAACTCTAACTTCTACCAATTCGTGATTTTGAGCGCGACCACCAACCAGTGTCACCAGTGGGCCATCGATCCTCACACTTGACTGGATGAACCTCACTGATCACGATTTCTCACTAGAACTCCAGGGAACTCCCTCCATCCTGTAGCCAGTCTTTAGCGAGCATCTGATTAATTTTCAATAGTTGGTTTGTAACGATTGGATTTGTTTTTACGAGTTTGATTACGGATTGATATCTGCATGTTTTCGAAGCCCAATGTGTGGGTACTGCTGATAATTTCCGATATGGGCTGACGAAATAGCTGTCCAGCACTCCTGTCTGGTTTTCATTGGTTCTCTAACTGATATCAATCCGTGATCAAATCGTAAGAACAAATTTAATCATTACGAACCAACTCTTGAAAATTAGTAGGACATTGGGATACATTTTCAGTGAATGGTCATAAAGGGGAATTATACTTTACTAGTGATCCCAGCCAATACATTCTTAAATCTAGCATAGACTGTAGTCATACCAGAGGAGAGATGGAATGTTGGGTGTAGGGTTTAGCAAGCCAACTGATTAACAGAGAACAACACCACCGCTACAGAAACTTCGAGGTTTAGGCTTGAAGCTTTATGTTCCACTTGGAATCTAGATGAATGAATGAAATATATATATATATATATATAATGCCTGGTTTTACACATGGGATCACCTTGCACTCCTCCTTTAGGTTCATGACAAGTAATTACAGTGTAATGACGGAAGGGGTGTACATTTCTAGTTCAGATGAACGATGATTTAACTGTGAAATTATCATTAACCTTCAAGACAACATAGTCAGTGCTAATTTCAATGTGAATTAAGCTTTGTGAATTCTCCACAGACGAAATACTTTTCTCACTGAATAACTTCCACTGGTGTTCATTTGCTTACGTAAATTTCTTTATGTTTATATTCACATGGATAAAAAAGAAGTGATGAAGATTGCTGGCCAACAGAAACAGCTACAACGACAGATAACAGACAACAATCAGCATAAATGGGAGAAATCTGAAAGAAGCTACCTCCTTCGCCTACCCGACCTACCTACCTGGGAAGCATCATTTCAACTACAGGCGGCGGAACTGATGAGATTATGAAAGCTTGAGGATCGAGAATGCAAGGTGAGCTTTCATTACTCTCAAGTCTGTGTGAAGATCAACAGCAGTAATCAGCATGAAAAATGAGATCCGGATTTACAAATCCAATGTGAAGTTAGTGCTACTCACTATACAGATCAGAGACTTGGCGCCAGGTCACGAAGGGCACTCTGAACAACTTCTAACAAACTACACACCTTCATCAACAGCTGTCTTCTCTCAATACTACTCAAAATGAGACGACCGGCTAGAAACGAGCAGCAACACGAATGTCTGTCAATGAGCAAACCAACCCAGCACGAAGGATTTATGCAAGAAATATGCAGAAAAGAAATGGAGGTGGATTGGTGGCTATACTATGAGAAAACAAACCACCATGTGAGTGACATCACATACCACGCCATTGCTCGAGTGGAACCGAAGTGGGAAGCAGCGAGTTTGTGGTGATTGCGAGGGTGAAATATAGGAGGTCGTGTGAAGATGAGATGGAAGATGTGGAGGGAGGTGATAACGATGGTGGAGAACCGAAGGTAGTGGAGACGTCCTGCTGAATTCTTGTATTCCTCTAGGAACTAAAGGAGACAATGATATAATAATAATATATTCACTTGTATTGGTATTGGTGCTCTCGCATATCATGCATTTGACGTTGCAGTCGTGTGAATTACCCCGGCGTTGTTGATCGACAAAAGCGATAAAAATCCCATCCCTCTTCACTTGACCTATATCCATTCACACGAATTCATGTTAACAAATGTGATAAGTGATCCGACAGGGAAAATGGGAGAATTGTAACCGTGAGAACATTGAAACTTTCACTGTGTTCTTAATAACATGGTATCCAGATCAATTTGGAACTAAAAGACAGGTCAGTGAGTAATAATTGTCAACAGTTCTTCATTTCCTGCGTTCCGCTCGGAACATCAAGCTTCAGGCTTTCAATTCTCAGTAGTGGTGTTGTTGTTTCTATGAGGTGGGATTGCCAGTATCTTGCCCTACCTTCCCTCTTTTTCGAGTTTACTAAAGTATAGGCAGGGATTAGGAGTGATTCCACCAAGAGTCAAGACTAGGTCTCCTGCACTGCTGGCGAACATCTCACCACTGAACCATCCATGCACAAAGCTGGCAACACTCGGTATGACCAGCTGCACACCGAGCCCAAAGTCGCTTTACTTCAGTTATCGGACGAGAATCGGTGTCTCTTCAGTGGCGGTAAGGTAACCAACTAATAGGAAATAAGAAGAACACAATCCTGAAATAATCTCCTGGAGAAACCAATCACGGTCATGGTAATCAGGAGGCTTAACATTATAACTAGGGCCAAAGATTTTCTGTAAAAAGACAACAGAAGCTTTGAAGTTAATAAACCATCTTGCTCCAAAAACACAATACTAAATGTACCGTGAGGTATTATCGGCCCGAATATCCCAATGGAAAGAATACAAATCCTGTGAGGCTGCAAGTATGGTAGGTGATAGTTTGCATGACTACCTGATTAGAACATACGAACTCATATTTTGCAATCTAATACCATTAAAAGGAAGTTACATCGTTCACGGTATGTATTCTTCTGCTGTTTCATGATTGATAATAATGAAAAGATACTGGGATTCACAGGGTTTGTTCTTTACATTAACCAGGGGCAATGTTTATTTTATGGTGACCCATACATCTTAGTCAAGTTGTATGGTGCTAGCTACCTTAGTATAGTGATAGAACTTGAATATTTATAGTGACTCAGCGAGGTGTAACTGCCTCAAATAAATGCAGTTTCAGGCCGCACTATACCAGGAAGTTCAACTACTTATTTTTAGAATGAAAGCAGTTACCATCATAGCTCATACTGTTTGAAAAAAAAATTATATTTCTAAGATCTCAGTGACGCTGAAATGCGTATTTTCAATGTTTTGTTCGTCAAACTGCTCCGAAATTTCTTCAAGAAGATGCATGGAAATTGAAATAATAGAGGTTCATATATGTCAAAAGGACAACTCTTGTTTTTTAAAAACTTTGCCCAGTCATATGAGTCATGAAACAGGCATCAAAATATAATAAACAAACAAAATTGCATGAGCTGTGATCAAATCTGACCTCAGACTTACAAATATCAGTCTACTTTAGTTAAATGCTTTAAACAGAGTGTACTTTTAAAACAATTAGTGCCTTTGATAAATTTGAATAAGGCATTAAGAAGACAAATTTCGCGAGATGATATCGTCATTTCGTAGTTTCTTTACAACCGCTTTACAACTTACATGGTTAACAATAATATAATAAAGTTCATAACAATTACATACTAATGACCAATCATATTTAAATAAGTCAAGTAGTCGTCCGTGGTAGGCGAAGATTGAAATTTATTGATGTTTGTACGTACACTTTAGGCTGTATGTGATTAATCCCTCAAAGTGCTTCCATCACCTTCAATAACCAACCTTGAATTAGAGTTATGTGAAATAATTGTGAAACAGTCATTAATATTGATTTTGTGACCTGACATTAATAAGTGTTTTGCAATGGATGATGATGCTAGATTTCTATTTAGATTAATAATTACATTGGGATTTTCTATATGATTTAGTAGCAATTTTGGAACATGTTCTTTTCGACGACATTGGAACATTCTGTTGGTTCTCCCTATATAGCGTGTGTCACCCCAACTGTAGGTGAACTTGTAGATACAGTTTGAAGTAGAGTGTACTTTTCATCGGAATTTTAGTGAGTACGTTTGACTAAAAGTTCATGGTCATAGATAACTGAATATGAAAATATGGTTGTATATGTAGTGTACAATGGTGGGTGTGTGTACGTGTGTATGGGTAAACATTTGTAAATCATTTGTTAACCTCTCCATAAGAAGATATAGACAATCGGGAATTTAGACCATGTATGATTAATTAGTGATACATATCCACTTTTTTTATTTATTAATCAGGATTTGCCATGCATCAGTCAGCTAACATCACACCTTCATGTCTGTTGAAACTGTTGGGATTCACCCATATATGTAGGGCTTCCACGGTCAGTCTTTCTTCATACGAACCAAAACCTTTCTGTAAAACCTTAGTCATATCAAAGTCGATCTTGTGTCCCATTTCTATCGAATTCAGTGCAATCGCTGATCTGTTTTCTGGTTTCTTTAAATCTTCAGAGGTCTTTGGAACCACTTTTAGACATTGTTTATGCTTTTTCACTTTCATATTTATCTATCTGGAAGTTCCTTCTACATATACGGCGTCACATTCCCCACAATTGATCTGGTACTTACAATTCTGTGTATTATTTTCTCCCATTTTATCCTTAACCTTCATTAGTGATGAGGAGCGTAAGGTGTTAGTTGCACGAAAATGCGCTCTTATGTTGTCATGACTGTTAAAAACTTACAGATGTCTACTTCTCACTCAACGCCCAATTATTGTAGGACTGTTCGGTCAAATCTTGATCACAATTCATTTAAATAGTTCACAGATTCCTGGAAAATAGTCGCAAAAGAGCACTAGCGTGCGGACGACTAGCATGCCATTTATGCTGATTCTTCCTTCAGAAAGAGGTGGAGGAGCACTTGTGAAATGTCAACCCCATAAATTGTACATCCACTATGGTCCTGTTGTGGTCCGTAGTGAGTGGTAAGATACCTGTACGGCAACAAGTTCATAAAACACACCTCCCAGGTGAAGAACACCAATAACAAACATTCGTTTAGAAAAAAAACAAAATTAGATGTATCTCTGACACACGTGATCCCGAACAGCTCCGCAGTGGTAACGTCTCTGACAGCAGGCGGCACTGAGTAACGTGGGGTCGAATCTTAGAAGGGGGGCATGAGTTCCTTCAAGCTTGGAGATACGCCTAACTGACAAGTTCTATGAAGCACGAAACCTAGGTCCAAGGCTTCCTGCCAACTGCCTCCAAATATCTACTACCCTATCTATCGGGAAGGCGAGAAACACGTTCGCTCATCAACCTGAAACCAATCTGGAAATCTTCGTCACTCAACTCGGTATCAACAACAAAATTCAGTCGGATTTTCAATACAAACGACGTCAAGTCAGTCAGTTCTTCTAAACAGATCAGAAACGTGGCGAGCGGGTCACAAGCAATATTTCCAACAGTCTGTTGTAGACCTTCATCAACAACAGTCTCCACTCTATACTGAAGATCAGATGACCGGACGGAAAGAATCAACAACAAGAAACTATGGCTGGGAACAAACAAAACAAGAACCAATCACCCAACAAACATGTAGGAGAAAGTGGAGATGGATTGGACACTCGCTGAGGAGGCCACCGCTGGGTGACATCTCGCGCGCCTAAGGCCATTGCTCGAGTGGAACCAGACCGAAAAAGAAGCGGCGAGTGGGTTGTCAATGCAAGGGTGACATGGAGGAGATCGTGTGAAGAGAGAGGAGTTGAAAGAGTATGAACTAACATAGATGCAGGTGAAAAGTACAGGAGAAGCAAGTGGAGACGTGCATTTGAAGCCCTATATTCCACTAGGAGCCAGAGGGAACAATAATGATAATGATAATCTACTATCCTCTTGTATTTTAAAAATACTTAAATGCTTTTACATTAGGAAATAAAAAATTCCAACAATTTTATACAAAATGTTAAATCTATTTTTTTTCTGCATTTTGATTATTTTTTTTTGTCTTGCAGAGAAATTTAGTCTTGTGTTTTTCACATATGGTTTTGTCAACTTCCTTGTTTGCATAGTTGGAATGTTTGCTGTATGTACTCAAAAGTCCACATTATTGACTGTGGTAAGAATTATTACTGATAGGTAAACATTTTGATTGCTTTCTATCGATGTTTTACGCTTGCTAGACAATAGTCGACTGTTTATCGACTTTTCTTTGTTTATTTGAAAGGCGTAGAGAAAGGTGACTGTATTTCTGAGACTCTTTAAACAGGCGTATCTATTTCCTAAGGAGTCAAAACTATCTGACTGTGTCTTGAGCTTGACTTTGCCTTGACTGAACATGAATTGAATTCATTTAGAGAACCATTGAAAGGCGAGGAGTACTTGACAGCCACTTCGTCCTACTTTGAGACTCTTCACAGTATTCACCAACCATCCCACTATGGAGATAACCCATGATTATCAGGTAACATGACCACAATTCAATGGTCAATCATTGCTAAGTTCTGGAAGTTCTAGAGCTATAGTGCGACTGCCAGTTAGTGTCATTGGCGAGTGTCTGTCCTTCTGCCCAACTTGGTGAACCCTTCTAGCCATGACTTACCACCAGAACGTCCATCTTACTGGCTAAATGGTTAACGAGCTCCTCTTGTAACCTGAGTTCCTAAGTTCTATCCTTGTTGAGACAATCAGTACGTTGTGCTGAAGAGTTCCATAATAGGATGAAATAGTTGTCAAGTTCTCCTTGCATTCCAGTGATTCTCTGACTGAAATCAGTTGCATCTCTTCAGACCAACACATGGAAAGCTAAGTTTAACATACGTCACGTTCATACTATTTTGGAAGTTACTCAATTGACTGCATTGCCTATATGTGAGGAAAGCGTACCAACCAATGTAATCACAATTGTGCATGAATATCAGCTATCCGCTAAAATTCCTAGTTCATTTTTCCAGTCGGTCAACTTGTGAATTGCACACAAACACAGAGACAAACAAGCACGCTGAGACGTATAAGAAAGTCTATTCTAACCGAACAGCCAAAAGTATCCATAACAAAGCTGGAAGTGTAGAAAATAATGCCCGATTCTGGTACAACATTATTATTATAGTTCCCTTGTGTTCCTAGTGGAACATAGGGCTTCAACGGGTTCCACTCGAGCAATGGCCTGACGCGCGCGCGATGTCACCCACCGGCCTCCTCAGCCAGTGTCCAATCCATCTCTACTTTCTCCTGCGTATTTGTTAGGCGATGGGTTCTTGTTTTGTTTGTTCATCGCCATAGTTTCTTGTTGGTGATTCTTTCCGGCCCGGTCATCTGATCTTCAGTATAGAGCGATAGTTGACAGTTGTTGATAAATGTCTGCAACAGGCTGTTGGAAATATTCTTTGCGACCCGCCAAGTTTCTCATCCGTTGCGTATAGACGAACTGACTGACTTGACGTTGTTCGTAGTGAAAATCCGACCGAATTTTGTTGTTGATACTGAGTTGAGTGACGAAGATTTCCAGATTGGTTTCAGGTTGATGAGTGAACGTGTTTCTCGCCTTCCCGACTCCTGGTACAACATACTAGGTGTTTAAAAAGAATAAAGTCGATTCGTCTCCTGCTAGGCGATATTAGAGCAGCTTAAATTTTGATTGGTTCATTTCCTGACTAAGTGTTCAGTCATAACTAATACTAATCCACCGCATGTAGACAATTACCGATTGTCTGTCAGATATCACTCATTTCCTCTGTGTCTCACTTGACTAAATTGAACTTCAAGGCAACCTTTATGTATACTCTACAAAAACCTATGCGTCAACAGAATCCGATCAATTTGGCCTAGTAAATGAGACTTTGAGAAATCATATTAGTAATATTATTCCCTTTGGTTTCCGTGTGGAACTTAGGGATTCAACAGCACTTCTCCACTTTCTTCTACTTTCTGTCATCATCTTCAGCTAGGTCCAAAATTGCCCAAACACTCTCACCTCTTCCTCACATGATCCCCTCCATGTCACTTTTGCACTGACGACCCACTCGTTGCTCCTCATTGGGATTCCACTCGAACAATGGCCTGGCGCGAGATGTCGTTCAGGGGCCTCCTCAGTGTATGCCCGATCCAACTCCACAATCTCCCGCACATTTGTTGAGCGATCGGCTCTTGCTCGTTGGTTGGTCCCCGCAGTTTCTTGCTATTTATTCTTTCTGGCCATTTGATCATCAGTACGGATTTAGCGAAGTCAGCTGTTGATAAAAGGCTGTAACTGGTTGGAAATCCCTTTCGTAACACACAGTGCAGGTATATGACCCGTATAGAAGAAATAACTGACTGGTTGACTTCACATTTGTGTTGAAAATTCGAATCATGTTTGTTTATACTGAGGAGTACAGAGCATTTCCAAACTGGTTTCAGATTGATGAAGGCCTACTTGACTGGCTGTGCGTGCTTTTGGTGGTAGTGGTGTATTTCTGGGCGAGTTTCAGGTGGAAATCGATTCAAGAGTCCTTTAAAGTGATCAGCCCATTGTTTGATATGTCTCTTTTCTTTGGTGATTAGGTTCCCTTGAGGATCTTTTGAAAAGCAACAAGTTAGAAGAAGAGGCATCCAGTGAAGATAGGGCTTCAAGTGAACATAGAGAAAACAGAGGTGATGAAGATTCCTGGCCAACACCAGCAGCTACAACAACAACAGACAACAATCAACACAAATGGGAGGAATCTGAAAGAAACAACCTCCTTCACCTACCTACCTACCTACCTACCTACCTACCTACCTACCTACCTACCTACCTACCTACCTACCTACCTACCTACCTACCTACCTACCTACCTACCTACCTACCTACCTACCTACCTACCTACCTACCTACCTACCTACCTACCTACCTACCTACCTACCTACCTACCTACCTACCTACCTACCTACCTACCTACCTACCTACCTACCTACCTACCTACCTACCTACCTACCTACCTACCTACCTACCTACCTACCTACCTACCTACCTACCTACCTACCTACCTACCTACCTACCTACCTACCTACCTACCTACCTACCTACCTACCTACCTACCTACCTACCTACCTACCTACCTACCTACCTACCTACCTACCTACCTACCTACCTACCAGAGAAGCATCGTTTCAACTATAGGCGAATGGAACTAACGAGGATATCAAAGCCAGAATCGGAAAAGCAAGACAACCTTTCATTACTCTCAAATCTGTGTGGAGGTCAACAGCATTCAGCATCAAAAATAAGATCCGGATTTTCAACTCCAATGTGAAGTTAGTCAGTGCTACTATACGGATCAGAGACTTGCGCATCATAAAGAGCACCTCAAACAAACAACAGACCTTCATCAACATCTGTCTTCGCTCAACACTACTCAAGATCAGATGGCCGACCAGAATAGATCAGCAACAGGGATCTCTGGGAGCGAACCAACCAGGAACCGATTGTGCAACAAATAGGCAGGAAGAAATGGAGATGGATTGGCCATACTGTGAGGAAACCATCAAGTGACATCACTAGACAAGCCATTGCTCGAATGGAACGCGAAAGGGAAGAGGCGAGTTGGTCGTCAAAGGGTGACTTTGAGGTCATGCGAAGAGGAGATGAAAGCGTGTGGGCAGAAGTGGAGCTAGGTGAAAAAGTTGGCAGAAAACCGAAGGCAATGGACGCGCGCGGCTGAAGCCCTATGTTCCTCCAGGAATTAAAGGAAACAATGGTTATGTAATAATATGAGCATCTATTATTGATTTCATCATCTGGGTTGATCTCTTCTCGGTTAAAAACCCGATATAATGTCCTGAAGTCTCTTTTACCTTCGGTATACTTGTTCTGCTTCAGTTACCGGCCAGCGTGTCGTAGAATTATCAGTCAGTAGAATATCGTGTCTAACTGGAACAGAACAACAGTTCAGTACTTCTTGATTCAAAATGGTTCTATTTAACTGATGCCGATCTTTATAATGAAATTTACCATGAAATCTTCAGGAAGCCAACACATCGACATGAGACCAACCACTTCGGTTGCACAAGAGGCAGTGGTTCTCGTGGCTCAAGTGGTATAGTGGATAACGCTTTGGTTGGCGTTTGAAATCATGGTCAATGGGTTTGAGCCTTGGTGCGATGAACATCATCACTGACTCACTGGAAAGTGCAAAGTACATCCAGCTGGCAGACGAGTCCAAAATATGACGAAATGCTGATTCTGGCTGGATTCAACTACTTCTAGTCACCATCCACCAATTGAATTCTAACACATGAAATCTGTTTTAACTTCTGTTTCTCTCGTTTAATTTTATTTGTTTGCTTCAAGTATCAAATACTTACGGCGTTTCTACTTGTTGGACATTTGAGCCTACTTATCGGTTATTACTTCAGTAAACAAAATGTAAGTAAATGTTGGAATTGTGTTTCAGATTTTTTGTTCAAAATAGAAAATGTCGTTGATATTATCATCTCACTGAACATTCAATAAGAGAGATTCAGTTTATTAAAACTTTAATTGCCCATCAATTCTACTGAAATCTTTCCACTCCTTTGGCCTAAAATCTTCAGTAATGGCTCCAGATTAAGCTGATGAATTATTATTAGGTGTAGGGCAGCTTGCAGTGAACTATTGGATGCTTAAAGCATTAAGTGGTGAGTTCGAGTCTCACCAGAAATGCAGGCAAATCCAGATAACGAGTCCCAAATAGGACGAAACATGCGCCTTGTCTTCTACTCCTGACAACGATGAAATAAGTACCACGGAATAATAATGCTATTATTCATAGTATAATGTGATATAATTACTACATTTTCCATTCAAGACTGCATAACAATAACTTGTTAGGAAATTCGCAGTATAAAATGATATCATTGTATTTCACAGGTTCTCATCAGCTGCAGACTACCTGAAATTACAATGGTTATATAGATGATTATAACATACTTTAATGTTCGAGTGGTGGTAGAAAAGAGATACTATAAAATTGACGCATCTAAATGAAAGCATTACAATGTTTTTAGTTTAAGTTTTCATCATCAATTTATACGCTTTTAAAGTTGAAAAGAGGGGGAGGGTTAAGAGAGAAAACAGAAAAAATTGATTAACAGAACAGTGTTAGCTTTTAGGTTCAAATAGCAACTCAAGAAACAAAAAAAAACAAAAAACAAAAACGGTTACAGTTTATGAGATTAAGATTTGTTCAGTGAGTTGAGATCACTGAATTAGATGACTAATCAAAATCAAAATTCTGTTACCAAGGGAGTGAGAGGTTAATCACACTCTCTTTCTGTATGCATAAGTCTGGTTTAAGTCTTTTGATTTCTGTTTTCTCCCTTACCCCTCCCCCTCTTTTCAACTTTAAAAGCGTATAAATTGATGATGAAAACTTAAACTAAAAACATTGTAATGCTTTCATTTAGATGCGTCAATTTTATAGTATCTCTTTTCTACCACCACTCGAACATTAAAGTATGTTATAATCATCTATATAACCATTGTAATTTCAGGTAGTCTGCAGCTAATGAGAACCTGTGAAATAGAATGATATCATTTTATACTGCAAATTTCGTCTTCTTTCTTTATCGAAAATTATTCAACTGAATTTCTGATTTTCGCGTCGATTGATTGGACCGAAGTGCTCGGTCTCAGGTTGACATGTCGGCTTGTTGTGCAGATGCTTGGACGATGTCTGGTCATTTAATTAGTATACAATTGGTGGATGGTGGCTAGCAGTGGAATCCAGGATAAAGCGCATTTCGTCCTATTTGGGACTCGTCAGCTGGATGTACCTGCATTTCTCAGTCAGTGATGATGTTCCCACTGAGGCTGGAAGCCAGTTCCGATAGTTTCAAACGCCGAAGCCTTATCCACTAGACCACTTGGGCCACGAGAGCCACCTCTTGTGCAACGGGTCATATGAATTATTCAATTCATACATTTGGTTCCCTTCATAAATTTCGATAAGAATAGAAGACGAAATTCGCAGTATAAAATGATATCATTGTATTTCACAGGTTCTCATCAGCTGCAGACTACCTGAAATTACAATGGTTATATAGATGATTATAACATACTTTAATGTTCGAGTGGTGGTAGAAAAGAGATACTATAAAATTGACGCATCTAAATGAAAGCATTACAATGTTTTTAGTTTAAGTTTTCATCATCAATTTATACGCTTTTAAAGTTGAAAAGAGGGGTGAGGGGTGAGACAGAAAAACTTTTGACTTCATTGGCCGCCTGCCATCTATGTACGGCCTACCAAAAGTCCATAAAGCAAATGTGCCTTTAAGACCATTCTTGTCAATGATTGACTCACCATGCCAAAAGCTAGCTCGATGGTTAGTTGACTCTATAGAGCCGATTCGAATGAAATTTGCAATCCATAGCCTGAAGGATAGCTATCGACTTTCCAAGGAAGTTGACAAATATTCTCAGAGTGCAATTACCAGACATATTGTTGATACTGGACATGTCATAGAGATTTCTAAGTCCTTCAAAATATTAAATAGACAAAGGACAGGAAATTTACTTCGATTTGCCGAAGCGATCGCAATCGAATGTTTCAAACTAACCAGAATTATGCATACAGAAAGAAAGTGTGATTAATCTCTCTCACTTCTTTGGTAAATGAACTTTGATTTTGATTACGTTAATTAATTAGTCATCTAATTCAGTGATCTCCACTCACTGAACAAATCTTAATCTCGTAAACTGTAACCACTTGTGTTTTTTGAGTTGCTATGTGAACCTACAAGCTAACGTTTGTTTATTTTGTCTGTCTTACCTCTCCCCTCCCCCCCCTCTTTTCAACTTTGAAAGGGTATAAATTGATGATGAAATCTTAAACTAAAAATTGTAATGCTGCTTTCATTTTGGATTCGTCATTTATGATCGTATCTCTTCTCTAATACCACTCAAACATTAAAGTATGTTATTATCATCGTCTATATAACCATTGCAATTTCAGGTAGTCAGTGGCAGCTGATGAGAACCTGTGAAATAGAATGATGATATCACATTTTATACTGCAGATTTCGTCTGCCTTTCATTATCGAAATTTATCAAGGAAAGAAATTGTATGAAATAACCTTGTTACTTACGGAGAACTGTTTACTCCCTTGAGTGGATTGCTGCAGCCTCCACTCCATTGGTTTCCATTGATTGTCTAAATGGCGCCAATTCATGAAGAAGTTTGTCATTGTGATTGTTTGATACCCTTAGAAATATTGAAAAAACTGCATGTTTGATCGTCAGATGATTTCAGTTAGAAAGCCAGGGAATATCAGGGAGTACTGAACAGCTGTTTCATCATTGTCTGAGATTCTCCACCAATATGTACCAATCATCTCACCAGTGATCGAGACCAGAATATTTAGGTTACAAGACCAGCTCCTAAACATTCAGCCAGTGGGATAGGGAGTTCAGTGGCCATCAATCCTAACTTCATGAAATAGAAGGTGACCGCTAGTCAGTGTTATGGTTGAATGGCTGTCCTCACGTCCAACTCGGTGGATCCCGCTAGTCAGCTTTTTCTGGCAGAACTTTAGGCAACCTCATCATGCAGTCAGTCACCAATGGGCGGTAGATCTATTTTAAGGTGTTGGATGTGGTCTACTGAAGAGTACCAAACTAGGACGAAACGCCTGTCCAACATCCCCTAGTTTTCAGTGGTTCATTATGTTAAACCAGTTTGTGACCAGTTTTGAAGTCGATCAGTCCCCTGAAAATCAATATTTCATCTATGTTCCTCTACAATTTTTAATAAATATTTGCTAAATAAACAACAATAATAATAATAACAATAGTTATTTTTATAAATTTTAGTTCAAAGACCATTTGAGCAATATGCTAGGAGAATATATGAAAGATTATATATCATTGAGAAGTGGAGCATCGACAAGTATATTTGCTGGGATTGTTATGGCAACGGTAAGTGAGTAATATGCATTGAGTAGTGCTTTAAATGGTCACTATCCTATAAATATTTCGTCGTAGTTCAGTTGGTAAAACTTTGGATTAATGCCTGAGAGATGACTGCTTCAAATTCTGCCTTAACTCAGCTTTCATGTCACTTCTGGTCAAAATCTGTTTTATCAATCAATGAAACAGTCTGACGAACCAAGTCTGTGTCATAATTAACTGTCAACATCCATTAATAACTTGCTTGTCTAATTTAGGATTTTACAGGAGCGGCTACCTTCCCTCTGTTCTGCCAGTAGGATGGACAGAGAGGGTAAAAAATAGGGAATTTTTACAGACAGTGAACTAGGAAGTAGGAAAATATCACTCTTCTTATGTGCGGAAGAAAATACAGATGAACTAGGCATAGATTGTGGAGACCATAGAGCGACATCACACAATGGGTCTTCGAATTGAATCAAAATAAGTGGCCACGGGTTGATTGTTTGACACTGACATAATGAAGATAGTGCTAGTAGGAAAGAAAATTTTGCATGCAGTTGTAGAGCCAGCTGAAAGTGATATCAGAAAGCAGAGTTGAACTGGGGTACTCTTTTCAACAGGGAATGTATGAAAAAAATAATTGGACTGTCCAGTAGTTGTGATGCTGAACACGCAGATGTTTTATTCACTTACAACCTAACAGCGGGGAATTACCAGTTGTGACTGTAGTCAGCCAAGGACGTAGTTAGTTGTTGAGTCTCACAGATTAGAAGGTGAGTGATAACAAGGCCAGAATTTATAGGCCACCCCCACACGACTGAAATTTTCATTTCACTTGTAATTACTACCCGTTAAGATATAATTCGTCTGCCATTTGTAGGCTACCTCAGATAGTCTCACTATCAAATATGTACATGTTATGTCGTCAAAGAATAGACTTTACTGTTAGAGAATCGATAAGTACATATCCAGTACAGTAATAGGGACACATTAACTGGATACGAGTTTTTATCCTACAATAATAAAAGTGAACTAAATCTCTTTTCTTTAATTAAATCAGTGTAAGTGACAGGATTTCATCATGAACTGACATCAGTTAGCGAACTATGGAAAAACCAGCTGGGAGTACTAGACAGCCAGATGTTTCGTCAGCCTATTTTCGGACTCTTCAGAAGTACGCAAACACCCCCAGGGTTCGAACTTACGACCTTCTGGTTACAAGCCTAGAGAGCTCGTAGACCATTAAGCTACTGGAAGCTGATCCAATTGCTAGTCGATGAATCCTGACTTCTGCCAATTCATGACGTGGCCCGATCATTAGTCAGTGTGTTCACACTCGATCTGCTGTACCCTGCTGGTCACAAATTCGAGTGTGACAAATCGACCGTGTGGACAAATACCCGCCGAAGACATTAGCTAGAGGTAGCGCTATGACATGAATTGGTGGAATTTGGAATTCATGGACTGGTCATTGGATCAGGTCCCAGTGGCTGATGAAACGTCTGTCTGACAGTACTTCCAGCTGGTTTTCCAATGGTTTTCTAGCCGATGTCAGCTGATTGTGAAATCCTGTAACCAATCAGTCACATCAGTAGCCTTCGGCATGACGCAGCAGCAACTTCACAGGAAATTATTTTTCCTCTGAGATTTGAGACTATGTCGTAGTCAGTGACATTTCCGCTTACATATTCCAAATACCATTTATATAAGCTAATTATGGCGTGTAATCGCACTGTAGGATGGGACAAGATAACAATTTTTAAAGGTAAAATAGTCTTTTGAAAAGAGTCAGGGAGATAAATCGTCTATGTTTCGTCCATTAAAACCACAGTTAACATGAACAACATCAGTTGAAGTAGTGAAAAGTTCCACTAGAGGAAAATAAAGACTAATAGCTCTAAACCGTGCGACTGACTATCTTCCAGTGGTGATCGACAATACCCTAATACAGTGTCGAATTATGCGTGTGTTCCTACGAAATAAAGCTATTCTGACAGAGAAATAGGCCATAAGTATTTGTTATCAAGTTTACTACCTTAATATCAAAAAAGTAATTGTAAGCAGTGAATCACTTGCTGAAACCGGCTTCAGGCTACTATTAGTCAATTTATCACTCTTTTTTTGTGATCACACTTATTAGTAACAATGTAGACTAAATGAGGTGTGAGTTATATTGAGAATTTTCGGCTCACCATTTATCAGAAGTTAATTGTTGGATGGTGGCTAGCAGTGGAATCCAGCCAGAATGATTTCTTTGTTTGTTGATAATAGTAACTACAAGTTTTTAAACCCACTTTGTGTTACGAATCAATAAGATGTGGATCAACAGCGCTGTGAAATGGCTCAGGGAACTTTGGTACTTAGGCTTTTTGAAATGTCATTAGAGCTTAAGTATGAGAGTCAGATGAATACTTAAAAAAAAACATCCGAATGAATTGAAAAAATCCTTCAATTGATTGAAAATGCACATTAAAATGTTTTTCAAAAGAATAGTTACTGAACAAAGAACACTCCCTTCGATAAATCCATCATCAGGCTCTACAGCTCTATATACATTATAATGAAAGAATGAATTAGTGTTATGAACAACATTAATGCTGTTTAAATAACATCGAATCAATAATCACATTGATAGATTACAGCTCAGTAGCATCAACATAAAATAAGCTGAATGTCAGAAAAATTAGGAAAGATAATATTACAAATTCATGAATCTATAGTCTCTACTGAAGGCCGGTCAGGGAGTGATAGTGGCTGGCTGGGCTTGTTTCCTCTGCACATAGAGTACTAATTGTTCCAGGTGAATTGTGAAAGCCTCTGCTGTTTGGAGCATATGGTACCTCGATGTTTTTGATGATTTATTTCGTACCCGGTGAATGATAGGGAAGGATTCTTCAATGCTGGCTTGCTTTTTGGCTGGTTACTCTGGGAAGTCGATTTGTCGTGCTCGGGAATATCTTTCAGTATGGCTAAGTGAAAGTGTAGTGAAAACCATCAACAGTTCGATATTAGACCATCTGGTAAGAACCAGCTACACAGCCAGCATTGAAGAATCCTTCTCTATTATCGGCCATCGGGCGCCAAATAAATTTCCAAAAACATCAAAGTACCACATGTATCAAACAGCAGAGGCTATCGCAATCGGCGTGAAACAACCAATGCTCTGTGTATGGAAGAAGCAAGTCCAGACTCTACTACTGCCCTGAACTTCGGTGAAGACCATAAATTCATGAATTTGGTAATATTATCTTTCCTAATATTTCTGACATTTAGTTTATTGTTATAATAGAAAAGATTTGTAGCTCAGGTGGATGATTTGAAATTAATAGTGTTCTCTGAGGAGCTGGTTGGTTTAGTTGCGGAGATTTCGTCATCTCCCTTCTAGACAACATATTCAGCGCAGTATTTAGCATAAAGTGATATAGATATAGCACAATCACTTAATTCGATATTATGCAAACCAAAAGGCCCATCCAACAGAAAAAGGAGATAAAATTAATACCATTTACAAAATAAATTGCATGTATGAACTGTAACAGGCATTACATCGGTGGTCGAAGTGGGCGTCCCTTTCGAATCAGAATCCAGGAACACAAATCATCTGTGAAAAGGCATGACATATATTCCTGTTTCATACCAATGCATATAGATAATTACGGAAATCAGTTTGATTGGGATAATGTCGAAATCTTAGACAGAGGAAACACCAAAAGTCCAGTCAGGGAATTCCTAGAAGCCTGGTACTCAAACGAAAATGCAATTAACAAACACGTTAATATAAACGAAATATACCAACTAATAATAAAAACTAAATCATGTGACCAGAAAGTTTAAAATCCAAGTCAATAGAAAATGGTCAATACACGTATGTAAAGATGGTTACCGGGAGACGCAATTATATCACTCATTAAAAAATTTAAATCACTTCACTTTATACTAAAAATTGCGCTGAAAGGGGATGTTATCCTGCAGGGGGACGACAAAAGCTCCACAACTAAACCAACCAGCTAAGAGAACACTATTAATTGCAAGTTTATCGTAATGTTGATGCTATCGAAATGTAATCCATTGATATTGTTAATATTATTGATTCGATGTTATTTAAATAACATTAGTGTTGTTAATCACACTAATTCACTCATTTACTATTATGTATGTATATATGACTGTAGAACCTGATGAAGATCGGACATCAATCATCAACTCAATACTGTAATCAAAAGCAGTTTAGAACTGTTAAAATGTCAACTAGTCAGTGAAAATATGACTCGTATTCAGCATACCTGACTGACAAGACCCAATAGTTTCACGTTCAACTCACCATTCAAGTTATCGACTGATTACAGAAGAATAAAATCTAGAATGGCTTATAATTATTATTGACTATCATATCATTCTAGAATCCCTGATAAATTGTTTATTTTCATTTCAATAAGATATTCACTGACTTGCTGTATTGTATCATGTTATTTTCAACTATTCTAGTACAACTGTTGTGGATTAGAAGCACATCGATACTTCTGGGAGACGCCAGCCTTTTCTCCAATTGACACCTACGATAATTTATTGTATAAAGGTGAGATGAAGCCTTTTTGAAAATTTACTAGAAATGTATACATTTTACATCACACTTTTTATTAATCTTTGAAGTATAAGGAAAATGTGAGTTCACACCCCCTAGGCTACTTGTATCGGAGCTGATTGTTTCCCTGACTTGAACTTTGACATTTTATGTGTGAGATTTCCTTCTAATCGATTGATAAATTTTGTCACAAGAATACCAGGCTTCTAAAAGTTCTCCAGCATTCTTCGTGTTTCCTCTGTCGAATATTTGAATACTGGTTGTCACAGTTGAATTCATGTCCGTGGTTGTCTGTATGTAGTGAGACGATATGAGGGAGTAGATATCATGCCTTTATGATGGCTAGCTTATGCTCATGGATATGAAGACGAAGAGGGTGGCGTCCACTTTGACCATTTCTTGTAACTTATTTTGTAGATGATGTTTGGTTTATCTTCTTTCGCTGTTGAGTGTTTTGGTTGACATAGAGTTGAGATGAAGTGATTTTATTGGTTTGTGTGCGACGTCACTTCCTAAAGGTTTGAAAAGTCTTTCAACGATTTCTGAGATGTCATTTATACATGGTAGGGTGATTTTCTTTGTGCTTCCCTTGAGGGCCTTTGACTCGGTAGGTTGGCTTGGAGGGGTATGTCTTTTGATGAAATTTAGTGAAACTACTCATATTGCTCAGTAGTAGTATAATACCGTTATACTAAATTTCTCACCTACCATATTTCCATTTATGGCAACAAGTAGTTAACAATGTGGTAGTCTGAATATTTCTGGTCCGCAAAGGAAACCAAAGTGAATCTTTGACTGGATATACCACTAATTGACTGATTTAAGTAGTCAGATACCTTTCCTATTAAAAGAGACCGTCCTGAAATTTCACCTGAAACTGTGTAAATCATGAATCATTTTACAAACTGATTACTGATTAGCCCAAATTTTTCCTTATTCCTTTACATTCCTGGTGGAACATAGGGCTTCAAGCAAGAGGATTGAAGTTTCGGTAGAAGAGGTGTTTATTTTTACGGGATGGAGTTGCTAGCCTGATGTTCAGCCCAAACTTCCTTCTTTACCAGACTTATTACTGGCTTAGCGAGGTGAAGGAGTGTGTCATCGTTCGTGGATCAAACCCTGAACCACATGGAGCGTCGTTGGCAAGCATTTAACCGCCGCGCCACCAACGAACGATTGGTTTGAATAGCTAGCTAAAATCAGGCTATTTCGAACTGTTTCGGCCTTGTGATCTGAGGAAAATAGGATACACTGCTGAGATTGGCCCCAAAATGTGCGAAACGACCTTCTGAAGATTCGGATGACTTTATTCCGGCTAGTTGCTAAACACACTACTGTTTAATATCAGCACTATCCAATATCTTTTCGGCTATTTTATTCTAAAAAGCAGCTGTACAATCGCATTTATATACAATATTAGTTTACATGGATACAATTATTTATTTAACTCGACATAGTAACGAAGGAGATAATAATTTTCAACTTGATATGAAAATTTGAAGGTACGAATATAGATTACAGGGCGCTTAGAGACAAGATTTCATAGGATTAGAAAACTGTTTTCGATGTATGCAAAATTATTATTTGATAACTGGAGAAATAATGTTATTTTTTTTAAATTAAAGAAAGGACCAAGTGGTCTAGTGGATAACGCTTTGGCGTTTGAAACTATGGGCACTGGGTTCGAGCCTCAGTGGGAACATCATCACTCACTGAGAAATGTAGGTACATCCACTGGGTGACGAGTCCTAAATAGGACGAAATGCGCATCCTGGATTCCACTACTAGCCACCATCCACCAATTGTATACTAAAGAAAGGACCCTCTGATAAACCTCCAGTCGGCGGTCAGATAAGACGGATTAGTACAGGAGAGTGGCAAGAACATGTTATACAACCCAGAGAATAATATATTTATGAAATGAAAACCCAATATTTGGGAACCTCAGGAAAAAAATAACAACGTTATCTCAAACGCTGGACATCTTTTATAAAACTAGTCACTTTAAAGTGATGACACTTTCCTTTATCCTACTGAATACAAAGTTAAGTCTTATAGCTGTTCTTCGAATGTATACCGAATGGTTCCATTATATGAACATATTTCTATTTCTGTAATGATAAACGATGTCCTCTGTGATTTTTATCTTTGTCAAAACTGTTGTAACAAATTAAAATGTGAAGTGAAAGGGAAAATCATAGAAAATTCGATAAAAACTGTGTATGTTTGCACTATCATGAGCATTACGAACAACAGAGTTGATCATCCATCCCGTCAACAGACCAACTTTGATTCTTAGTTAAACTGACTGACTGGATAATGATGGATCGGATAAGAATCCAAGATGCAAATTTTGTCTTAGATAAACTGGAGGAGATAGACATATGCTCCGAGGATGTTCTCTAGGAAGATAATGAAAGCTCCACAACAACTGAACTATCCAACTTGGAGAACACAACTACACGATAGATGCACCAAGTGAGTTGTAGTGTGCCCAGTGACTCTTGAAATCAGGATCTATTGTTTAGAGTGTCAAAGTGTTATCGACATGACAACATTGTTATGTTGCCGCTGCTGAGTGGTTAATAGTAGTTTTCCCCCGTCGCCAAATTGTTATATACTCGTCGCTAAATTATTGCTATGTACCGGTCGAGAATTTAATAGTCCTGACGTAAGAAGGCGGAAATCAGAAGACCACTAGGTTTGCGATGATACTTCTATTTTCCACACACAAGGAGAAGCAATAAGTGGTATCACACCAAAGTTTAGTCACACAAGATTATGAAAGCGAAATATATATGAATGTCCAGACAAGTGTGTGAACAAATCAATAGACAGTCTTAACATGAATGACTAATTATAATGGAGTGTCGATCCATATATACATAGCAAAATATAGCAGACATGTCAACAACCACACATATAATATGGATATATGTCACCAAGCCACGGACTGTCAACAAACACTCATATTATATTATAAATAATATAAGGGGAATATACATTGTTAAAGGAGACAGGTTCATCAAAGTGAAATGGTCACAGACTAAGCGAGCAAACAGAAAGAGAGATCACCATACACATATATATATATATATATGTGGATACATATCACACATAACAGCATGTCATCATTCAGACACTTACGCGGCGTCTGACATGTTAACATTCTAATAAAAATCACTCAACGGGAAATGTCAATTAAGTTTAAAAATTTGATCTGTCCTCAGTTTTTGTGCGAAACTATTTTACTTTCCATTTCAGTTAGTTAGCTAACAGCGCTGAGGAAGTGACTGAATTGCAGGGCGCTATTGGTGGTGGTTGATGTATGCATTCGCGCATAATTGTGGCTTTATAACAGACAGTGTCTTTTAGTGACAAGCAGTCAAAATAAATTTGGAACAACAAAAATTATTTTGAGAAGTTCATACAAACCCATTGCTAACTCGTGTTATCTCGTTGACATTTGATGCGACTAACCACACTTAAACGTGGGTATAACAACACCGAAAATAATGGACAAGTCACCTAAATGCTGGATACGGTTATTTGTCCATAGTGCCTTCCGCTTCACTGAACCCCTTAAATGCCTGTGACTGTTAGAATACTAACGACTGACGAATGACAATAAACAGGATGACTATGACGACCATTTATTGTCCAAAACATATGGCCAATGCAATTTATGAAACCTCGGGAAGTTGTATTAATATATGTGTAAAACTTGAACACTGTGGTAGAAGGAATTCCATATTAGTTTGTTTATTAGATGTATCACACAGTCACTGAAACAGTATTGATGTTTACTGGAGGACACCGTTTAGAACACAATTTATGACTGTTGATAATCATATCACCAAATATTATCACATGACTTCGAAACTTGAGTTTTATAGCTTTCTTTGTTCTCTCCTATTTGTCGTCTTTGGGGTAGTAGAATTTTCCAGATATCTGGATGGACAGATGTTGAATCATTCCTATTACACGTATTCTCTGTCAGTTGATTCGATAAATAAAGCTTCCGTTATCAATCTCCCTTTCCATTCATCATGTTACATTAGATTTCAAAACTGTCATCTTATCCCATCATACTATGCTGTACGGTTGTGTAAAATTGCATGTAGAGAGTGCTATAGCTGAACTATTCTCTAGATTTCTTATCTTATTTGGGTCAACCAATCTAGATTTTGCTGCTAAGTTTTTATGCTCCGCTAGTCTGACTGTCCCTGTTTTACTAGTTTGACCTATGTATTTGACCTGACAATCATTGCAGGCAGGGTATTAGATAAACTAAATTGTTTTGTTTTAAAGTCTCAACAGGATCCTTTAACGGACAAAGCTTGTCTCTGATTGAGTTTGTGGTTGGTTTGAATGCCAGTCACTTTTATTCCTGCCTTGTTAAGAATTCTGCGTAAGATTTTTAAGGTTCCTTCTTCTACTACCCCAACGACGACAAATAGGAGAGAACAAAGAAAACCGTAAAACTCAAGTTTCGAAGTTGGGTAATAATAATTGAAGATATGATTATGAACAGTGATAAATTTTGTTAGAAACTTCGTTATCCAGTATATAGTACTGTTTTACAGTGTGATACATCTAATAAACAAACTAATATGGAATTTTCAAATATTGGTTTTTTGTAGGGATTTTGTTTGATTGCATGGAGGATTTAATCATGAGCTGACATCAGTTAGAGAACCACTGGAAAACCTGGGAGTACTGGACAGCCATTTCGTCCTAGTTTGGGACTCCTCAGCAGTACGCACCCACCGGGATTCGAAATATGGAATTCTCAGGAAGTTATGCCACTAATGAACAAATCTGGTTCCTTGGTCGAGGACGAAGGTTATAAACGAAAGATGATGAAATTTTACACTGGCGTCAAATGTTGCAGATATGCCTTGCTGACTGACTGTTGAGTGCCAACTAGCACGAAACTTAGATCAGGCAGGTCTTCCTGCCGACTACCTTCAACCATCTAATACCAACAATTCAAAGTGCACAGTGTTAGCGAGCCACCTAGTGGCATGGTGGCCACATTGCAAGCGGAGCGAGGTGGAAACTTTGGTGGAGAACCGAACTCCATGGATACTAGAGGCTGAAGGCCTATGTACCTCTAGGAACTGACGAAGACAACAATAATGGTAAATACAGTTATGAAATACGGTATATACTACCAATTAATGTGAGTAGCTGATATCCAATTATGTCAACTAGTGACACTTGCCATTGATTATAAACTTCGCCACAAGAAAGTGAAACGGCTATCCCGTGTTCAGGTCACTTCAACCTGACTACAAAACACTTGTAGATGAATATTGCATAGACAACGGTTTGTGTAGAATGACAGAGTACCATGCACTGACTTCGTCGGCTTTTCATAAGCTGTGTACAGCTTGCAGATATTAGGTAATGTCACTTAATGACAGGAGACTCTCTTACTTAATAAACAGCGTTGAGAAATTACACTTATGTAATTTATACTCAGAAAGTTGAAGTTTAAACCAAAATAAACGCTTACATACAATGGTAGACTAGTTACGTAATAAGGTGAATCAGATAATGAGTAACTAACCAAATGAGTAACAATGTGGAGAGTTGAAATGAAATCATAGAAACAAAAGACAGCCAAAGTCACACCATATCAAAGAGGTGAAAGGTTAGAATCAAAGACTACGTAATGCAACAGAAGAAAGCATGAAGACATGCGGTTACCATGGCCAGATAAGACTGGCAAATACTTTTTTCTGAACACAAAAATCGGGCTTCAGGTATCTGATAGTGACTGCTTCAGTAAACTTAAGGAAAACTGACCTATTTTATATATTGATAAATGAAAAGGATCTCATGATGTCTACCTCATGACTCGTATATATTGCATATATAGGAATAACACTATTGCAGGAGTTTTTATCCATTCTTGCAGCTTTATATCCATTCATAAGTGCATTTTATAACCTTTCTTTTTTCTACCTGTGTTATAGGATTGCTTTTCCCTGTGACTTGTTGTAAAATGGACGAGAAATTAAAAATTGTGGATAAAACGTGTCCAACAAAATTTAATAAGCTTAACAGTAATATTGGAATTGGGTGTGGTAAACCTTTCAGTGATAATATCGCATTTATCACAGATATGTCTGTACTCAGTTCCCTGTTAATTTTAGCATGCAACGTAAGTAGTTATTGTCAATTCCATCATAATTATTTTGTAGCTTACTTTTACCTACTGAAAATGGGTTTAAGTAGTCCACGAAATTTCAATAAAGTTTCAAAATCTAGGCACTACACTGTTGCGTAATTCTATATTAATTTGTTTATTGACTATATTATCTAGTGAAATCGCTACACTCCAGCTGATATTGAGAAAAGCAGAATAATGAAATGCTTGAATAACAGGGGGAAAAGGTGAAAGGGACAAAATAAAATCCAGGTTAGGAAGTAAGATATATAAAGGAAGCTCTGCCAATAAATAATTACCCTGACGAATTAATCAGGAATTGCTTAGAAAAAATGTAAGGATAGGTTTAAAGGTAATAATAAAGATAGCATAAATGACGAAAATACCCAGGAATAGGACAATTTTAACAACTGAAGATTGAAATACACCATTAGTGCTTCCATACAACACAGAGTTAACCTCTGAAAGCTAATGCAGAATTCATCATAAGGCAGGAATAAAAATGGCATTTGAAACGCAAAAACTCATTTCAGAAATAAATTGTGATTTTTTATAAAGGATACTTTAGAGAATATTAAGTATTATAGTTTGACCTGATTAAAAATGTCCATTAAAATTTTTCGAAAGAATGGATGCTGAACAAAGAATACTTTTTTCGATAACCCCTTCATCATCAGGCTCTACAGTCATACATACCTTATAGTGAATGAATGAATTAGTGTTATGAACAACATTAATGTTGTTCAAATAACATCGAATCAATAATAACAATATCAATGGATTACAGTTCAATAGCATCAACATGACAATAGACACTGAATGTCAGAAAAGTTAGGGAAGATAACGATACAAATTCATGAATTTATAGTCTCTACTGAAGACTGGCTAGGGCAGTAGTAGTGGCTGGCTGGACTTGCTTCTTTTGAACACATAGCACTGGTTGTTTGAGGCGAATTGCAATAGCCTCTCATGTTTCGAGCATGCAGTGCTTCGATGTTTTTGGCAATCTATTCGGCACCTGGTAGGTTATAGAGAAGAATTCTTCCACATTGGCTTTGTGGCCAGTTTGAGCCAGATGGTCTAATATCGACCTGTTAATGGTTTTCACTACACATTTACTTAGCCATAGTTGGAGACGTTCTCGAGAGAGCCCGAAAAATCATGTTCCTAAAGCGACGGCCAATATAACTCACTCCACAATAAGTGCAGTTGAACTGGAAGATACAATTTGCAGGGGCTAGCTAGTCTAGGTACTTCATCTTTCAGTCGAGGTAGAACCATCGATCGTGTAGAGAATAATACGTGTAGTTCGCCAGCATTAAAAGTTCTCAGAAATATTTTTTTTGAATTTGGTTTGTCTAATAACCTGTAATCATTCTGAGGTCATATACACAGGCCGAATTAGTGGGACGGGCTGAATTGGATCAACAGAGAAAAAAATAACCTGCCCAAATTCAGATTAGTTGACCCTAGAAAATCTTAAGAAAATCAAACACTTATGGCCTTACATGCAATTACCGACAATCATAAATCAGAATGGGATAAGATGACAGTCCTTAAAATCGAATATAGCACTGTTGACAGAGAGAGAGACTGATAATGGATAGCCTATTTATGGAATCAGCTGATAATATGTGCAATAGAAGCGATTCAACGACTGTCGCGAACCTCTGGAAAATAACACTACCTTTGCGATGGATAGAAAGGAAGGAGGAGGACTATGAAATCAGGGTTTTAGAGTTGTTTATCAACAATTAGTATGATCATGAACAATAAACTGTGTTCTACACTTGGTCCATCCAGTAAAGCGTATTCGGACACAAATCACATTGAGTTTCCAGAGATTTTCATAGCAAGGTCATTCTATGTTCGTGCAAAATGTTCATCTAATATAATAATTGATAATATGTCATATGAAGTAATACCATTCTATCCGAAACATGTTCCAATACTACTCCACAATGTTTTCTCCCTCGAAAAACTACCTAGCGATAGAAAAGACGCAAATTCAAAATTGTACACGAGTATAGAATGTGACTCATTGTGGTAGTTAAAATATCAAAAGGAGTGCAGACATTGCATTTTGATGGAGAGAAAATTTAGATAGCCCAGTGATTTATCCAGGAAGCCTTCATAAATGTGTAAAACTCAGGCACTGTGGTAGTAAGTAATTACATATTAGTTTGTTTATTAGATATATCACACAATATGAGAGAAACAGTATTATTATCATTCACTGGATGACACAGTTTCAAACACAATTTATTACTGTTCATAATCATTTCATCAATTATAACTACACGACTTCGAAACTTGAGATTTATAGTTTTCTTTCTCGTCTCCTCCTATTTGTCATCTTTGGGGTAGTGGAATTTTCCAGATATCTGGGTGGACAGGTGTTGAATTATTCTCATTACATGTGTTTGCAGTTGATTCGATAAACAAAGCTTCAGTCAGTTATCAATCTCTCCCTCCATTCACCCTGTTACATTAGATTTTAAAACTGTCATCTTTACCCAGCTCTCCTATTGTATGGTTGCGTGTAATTGCATTTGGTGTAGTGCTGTAGCTGAACTGTTCTCCAGATATCGAATACATCATCTCGAAGGTAGAGGCAATTCAATTCACTTGTGAATTGTTAAGTCAGGAAGAAAGGGGAACTTCCAATGTTAGATTATAGCGTGAAAAGGAAAGAAGTTAAGAAGTTAACACTAGTGTTTACAGGAAACCCACACATTCGAACAGATATTTGGACTTCCGACCATCCTATCCTATGTCAGTGCAAATAGGACTGGTAAAATGTTTAAGTGACAGAGCACAAAAACTAAGTAGTACCAAGGAAAAACTAAGACAGAAAGTGAGGCATATAAGAGAAGCTTTGAAACTTAATAATTACCCTGATAAATTAGTCAGAAAGTATGTAGGGAAACGTAGATATAAAATAAATAATAATAGCAGTGATAGTGATAATGATCATAATATTAATGACGACATGCATGTTAAACATGCGCTGGGTAATGACAACACTAACACTAAGGAATCTAAATCATCAGTAGTACTTCCTCCCATACAAAGAAGGAACCTCCGAAACCACCTTACGTAGAATTCTTAACAAGGCAGGAATAAAGGCGGTTGGCGTTCAAACCACCCACAAACTCAATCAGAGACAAGCTTTGTCGGCTAAAGGATCCTGCCAGTGGATTCAATTAGACAAACCAATTTAGTTTATCCAATACGCTGCCTCCAGTGATTGTCAGGTCAAATACATAGGTCAAAGTAGTAGAACAGGTGTAGTCAGACTAGCCGAGCATAAAAACGTAGCAGCAAAATCTAGATTAGTTGACTCGAATAAGAAAAGAAATCTAGAGAATAGTTCAGCCACAGCACTACACCACATGCAATTACACAACCATATAATAGGCTGGATGGGATAAGATGACAGTTTTAAAATCTAATGTATTTGGCTGAAAAGAGGGAGAGGTTGATAAAAGAAGCTTTATTTATCGAATCAACTGACAGAGAATACGTGTAATAGGAATGATTCAACACCTGCCCACCCAGATATCTGGAAAATTCTACTATCCCAACGACGACGACTAGGAGAGAACAAAGAAAGCTATAAAACTCAAGTTTCGAAGTCATGTGATAATAATTGGTGATATGACTTTGAGCAGTAATAAATTTCGTTCGAAATGGTGTCATCCATTGAATGATAATGATACTGTTTCACTGACTGTGTGATATATCTAATGAATAAAGCTAACAGGCCGGTTTCAGTCATTTATTTTATGATGAATTAGTACTACAAAGTAGAATTATTTACTAACTTGCACAAACAAGAGACTAACTGAAAATCCACAAGCAATAGACAGGTGTTTCACTCTACTACTGTTCCCCTCAACTACTATGTTCATTCATGACCATAAGACTGATGGAAAGCAGGTAAAAGTTAAGCCTTCCAGTCATTCAGATATTAGGGGCTATAAATGCAGTGACTCATGAGCTCTGAACTCTCTGTCAACTTATTTCGTATTGAAGTCTACACATTTGAATTTAAATAGAAACCTGTTAATATGCTCTAATGTCTGTTTCTCCCGTCTATCTTTTTATCCAGGTTATAATGATGTGCATCACAGTTAAAGCTCTTAGAGACTTGGAACCAATAAGTATATGACGAATGTTCAAAGATAACTCAGATACGTATTGTAATGAATAAATGATTGTCTTATTTTGAATGTCGAATAAATTCATGACTGAATACGGAAAGAGTATTACGTAAAATACTGTTGATAATTTTAATTTCCAATCTTTTTTAACTTAAACTCCTTTGAATAGTTTTCACATATAAATAATTCGCAGTTAAAACGCATAGTGCAACCTATTTAGGTCTCGTAAGATGAATGTAAAAGCACTGCCAGTGAATGTTGGTGTTCTCACCAGTTGGCATTGGTCATTCCAAAGGCTAATACAAATCCATCATATTCGTTCAGTAAATGTTGGCGGCCTACTTGAATCATCAGGCAATCTGAATTTCAAGTTTCTCTTATTTTTGTTCTTCCATTTGAAGAATGTAGTTAGATACATTTCTGTTAATAGACAAAAGACAAGTAGTTCAGTGAAGAGTCTCTTTTCGGCGAATTCATTTTCATATATATGGTTATTTTGTGTGTGTGTGCGTGTGTACATTGAATTTGTCAAACGAAAATACAATTAGTAAGTTCAGATGAATTGGATATTGATAAGAGGATAGCAACGAAAGTGATGAGTTGTCAAAAACGATTGTTAAAGAGGAGTAAGTTCAGGTGAATTGGATGTTCATTTCTGTTAAACTGTCTTTCACACTACCGTTAGGCATTTCTCGAAGGTGACGAAAGAAAACATCATGAGGAATTTGTCGATGCTTTAAACTGAACAGCATGACGTCAAATGATATTGTATATATCTAATTCCTTCACGTTCCCAGTGGAACACAAGGGGCTTCAAGCTAGAATCTGCTTGAAGTTTCGGTAGCAGTGGTGCTTATTTTTACAGGATGGGGTTGCTAGCCAGCCTCATGCACAACCTTCCCTCTTTACCAGTCTTATTACTACTGGCTTAGCGAGGTAAAGGTGTGCGTCACCGGCCGGAGATCAAACCCCAAACCACCTGAGTGGTTGGCGAGCATTCTACCACCACGCCACCGACGTTTGAAGATCCTAGATGGAGCGAAAGCGTGTCATACATTAAGTGGTACTGACAATTGGATGAACAATTTGTTGAGATTAAAGCTATTAGTACTATTACTAGTGCGTCAGTGGCGCAACGGTTAGGACGCTTGCTGACCATGCACATGGTTCATGATTGGATCCTCGGCCGACGAGGCACTCGTCTACCTAGCTAAGCCAGTAGTAAGACTAGTGAAGAGGGAAGGTTGGGCATGAGAATAGCCACCCAATCCCGTAAAAATAAACACCAGTGCTACTGAAACTTCAAGCTCCTAGGATGAAGCCCACTGTTCCACTGGGAACGTGAAGGGATAAAAAAAGACTAGTTAGCAGTAAATTTAAAACAAATTCACAGAAGGTAACTACTTATACCTGCTGTGTAAGAGATAACTGTCACTGACCAGTGGTCTGGTAGATAACTTCTCGGTGTTTGAAATGATGGGTGTAATTTTCGAATGATATTAATAATTTTCTACAGTTGGTTTCTAAGGAATAGTTTCGCTTCTACGAGTTGATCACGGATTGATATCACATTTAGAGAACCATTGGAATCCAGCACTGAAGTACTCGACAGTTGTTCGTCATCATCCATTGCAAAGGACTTATTCATGTCAAGTCACAAAATCAATGTTAATGACTGTTTCACAATAGTAGTAGTTCCCAAACTAGGATGAAACAGCTGTCTAGTATTAAGAACACAATATTCAGCGAAGAGACTCTTTCCAATGAATTTATTATCAAGCTGTGCAAACGTATATATATAGGGCATATTTTATAAGAAATTATATCCGGTGAGGGAATTAGATTAAAGGTGTGAGTACATTAAATAATAATATTAATGGTATGAAATGCAATTAAAATATTTGTGATTATAATCATAGTTAAAAATCAAGTGGCGAAATAATTTCATATATGGAATTATACATAAGGTGTATAGATTCTGGAAAGGGGTACATAATTATAGGATTAGTGGGCGAATATAAAATATTACATATTATAGTGTGAAACTTGATGCGATAGAATTCAATATTGTGAAAATAAAAAATATAAAAATGAATAATTGTGGGTTTAAAATGACAAGTGGGTCAAGTGGAAGCAATTTAGAATGAGAATAGTAATAATAATAATAATAATAATAATCGTAGTAATAAGGGAAAAGTACATAGAATAACTAAATAAACAAAATAAATAAATGTCTATCCCTCCACGGCCAAGGCAGAATTAGGGATTGTACGTACTTTCTTTGTACACAAAGGTCTGGCTTAAAGTCATGAATTGCAAAGGCCTCTGCTGTCTTTAGAAGTCTGTAACGAAGAAAACGCGAGAAGTCAGCATGGATTCTATATATGATCTTGAAATCGTAGTCAGGGTTGACCAAGTAACAGAAGTCGATCAGGTGTTCCAGAATAGAGCTTCGCACACACATGCTTTCTCCCTTGTATGATCATGCTGGAATATGTTCTCGTATCCGTGTGGTGAAAAGCGTCCTCTGACTACGGCCAATGTATCTTGCTCCACAAGAGCAGATGAACTGATAGATAGATGCACATGGAGGCGACAAGACGAGGAAGTTTATCTTTTACAGAGGTAGAAAACAACTTGCAGCTCGTGAACGTCATATTTAATTTTGCTGCAGAGAACGTCTTACTGACTGATTTAGAGAGACGATTTTTGAGCATATCTGAAGCTTGATCACCTTTGAATTCCAAGTTCAGGAATAAGGTTTTCTTTGGAACTGAGTCGGTGACCAGTTTAGACTGATTATCTTTCGTGTTACTGTCAATAAATCGGTTCGAGTAACCGTTTTCTGCCAGTGTGGGTTTTAAGACTTCAAGTTCTGAGTCAGCACAATCAGAACTATAAATTCTCCTTATCCTAAAGCAGAGCGAATGAATTAGGTTCCTTTTCCTGGAAAAAGGCACCCAACTGTAAAAATTAGTGAGTTGCCCGTTCCATGTACGTTTCCGGTGGTAAATTCTCAACTAAGTCAAACCATCGGTTATTTTGACTGATTCATACTTACTCAAATATGAGTTGTTATTTCTGAAACCAAGCTTACTGGAAACCAGAAAGCATTAAATAGTCATTTTGTTTAACAGAATCTTCAAGTTTTATTGAAACAAAATAAACTTCTATGATTTGCAATTAGACACGAAGATAGACGCCCGTTACAATAATCTTACGTAAAATTAACTCAAAGTATCGGGATTTGACGCATCTTTCACCTATCTACGCAGCCTAGTTTTGATTGTTAGTTAAGATATCGAGGCTGAGATCTCAAAGACAAAACAAGCGTTCATTCCTCTTAAAATGATGTGACAGTTTGCTGTAGTGAGCATAAACAACACGATCGGGATTTCCAACACTAATGTCAAGTTACTTCTTCAATATGGTATAGAGAATAGGCGTGCACCCTCACGGGAAGCACTTCCAACAGACTTCAGACTTTTGTCAACAGCTATAGTCGCGCAGATATTCTGTTATTCCTGACGATAAAAAGTGGTGTATCTCTGATTCGAAGGCGTGAAAATCATTTTATCAGGTGGGTATTTTATACAGCTTAGTAGTTACCGAATTCACTATGTACAAACTGTAATGTATTAGATGGTTAGAGGCAATCGGCAGGCAACCTTACCTGGCCTACGTATTGTGCTAGTTGACACTCACCAGTCAGAAAGGCGTATGTGCAACCTTGAAGGAACTCATGTATCCCCTTCTGAGATTCGAACCCGCGTCTCCCAGTAGAGTATGCAGTCAGAGCCGTTATCAGTGAGTTAGCTTTTTGGGCTCTCGATTGACCTCCTGTAGGACTGTAGTGGGTATTTTCACTGGACACTAGTAACCAGTGTGCAGTGTCTAATCCACATCTAGTCTGGGTGACGCGGGTTCGGATCTCAGAAGGGATATGAGTTTCTTCAAGGTTGCAGACATGCCTTGTTGATGAATGCCGACTAGCAGGAAACTTAGGCCCAAGGCTTCCTGCCGATCACCTCCAGCCATCTAATATCATCAAATCAGTGTGAACCGTGATGTCCAGCTACCTAGAATGGTGGCCGCATTCCGAACCTGATTGAGAGAATTCAGTCTGCACCAAAGAAATGACTAAACACATCACACTAATTACTAGACTCCAATGAAAATACATTGTGATGTCTCTCTTAAGAATTCAGACGAGAAATATCTTTCAGCTGTTTTCCAGAACAATGGACACCTACTTATATTCATCAAGATGTGTCTGCACCCAAATAAAACGGCAAGCAGAAACCCATCTACTGAAAATGAAGAACACAAAAGAGTGGTTAATAAACGTGGTATATGCCATCATATTGGCGTCGTTGGCGTGGCTGTTAGGGTGCTCGCCGACCATGCACCTGGTCTGGGGTTCGATCACCTGCCAACGCACCCTTTTACTTTGCTAAGCCAGAAATAATGCTGGTAAAGAGGAAAGGATGGGCATGAGGCTAGCAACCCCATCCTGTAAAATTAAACACTGCTATAGAAACTTCAAGCCACTAGCTTGAGGCCCTGTGTTCCACTGGGGAACGTGAAGGAAAAAAATGCCATCGTGTTAATGTATGTGGACACCTATCAAGACTGATTTCTCTGGAAAAACTGTTTGGTAAGAGCTGGCTGCCGACCAAAATTAGTAGATAGTAATTTACGTCAATGTTTACATCCCAAATATTGTACTGAGTTGAACTCAAATCATCGAAACAAGAGACAAGTACAATCATAGAGATAAGACTCAGTACATTGTTACCTAACTTATTAGTCACCATACATATAAAGCACATCTCATCTTTAATACCTAACTCCTTTACCATTATATGCATACATTTATTTATTTTTTGTTTAAACTTGAACTGCCTGCGTAAAAACTATATAAGCGCAATTTTCTGAGCACTGCTTACTAATTGTGGAACTTCCTGTCAACTGACAACATGCAAAATTTGCAAGTATGTTAAAACGTTTCTGTACTTAAACCTCATAATTTATTTAGGCTGTAAACAGCTGAGCTGATGAGAAGCAAACGAGATTAATGATGGTACCGTATTATTCTGCACAAACTGC